GATGACTCTTGTTACGTTTTAGCAAAGAGACTGGCAGCATTTTGCCTCTGCCCTAGAGATCTGTGGAACTTTGAACTTGAGAGAGATTATTCAGGGTATCTGGCAGAAGAAATTTCTAAGCAGCAAAGCATTCAAGAGGTGACTTTACTGCTGTTAAAGGCATTCTGTTTTATAAGAGAAGGAGAGAATAAAAGTTTGAAAAATGTGCAGCCTAACAATGCAATAGAAAAGAAAATCCCATTTTCTGAGGAGAAATTCAAGCTGGATGCAGAAATTTGCATAAGGAACAAGAGTGGAATGTTAATCACCAAGACAATGGGGAAAATATCTCCAGGGCATGTCAGAGGTCTTCACATAACCCCTTCCCATCACAGACCCTGAGGCCTGAGACCTAGGAGGAAAGAATAATTTTTGGGGCTAGGATCAGGGTACCTCTGCTGTATGCAGCCTAGAGATTTGGGGCCCTGTGTTCCAGCCACTCCGGCCATGGCTGAAAGGAGCCAACATAGAGTTCAGGCCATGGTTTCAGAGGGTGCAAACTCCAAGCCTTGGCAGTTTCCATGTGGTCTTGAGCCTAAGGGTGCACGTAAGTCAAGAACTTGGGTTTGTGAACCTCTGCTTAGATTTCAGAGGATGTACAGAAATGCCTGGAAGCCCAGACAGAAGTTTGCTATAGGGCCAGAGCCATCATGGAGAACCTCTGCTAGGGCAGTGCAGAAGGAAAATGTGGGGTCAGAGCCCACACACAAAGTCTCTACTAGGGCACTGCCTAGTGGGGCTGTGAGAAAAGGATCCCTGTCCTCCAGACCCCAGAACGGTAGATCCACAAACATCTTGCACCCTTCACCTAGAAAAGCCATAGACACTCGATGCCAGCCCATGAAAGCAGCCAGGAGGGAGGCTGTACCCTGCAAAGCCACAGAGACAGAACTGCCCAAGACCATGGGAACCTGCCTCTTGCATCAGCATGACCTGGATGTGAAATATGGAATAAAAGGAGATCATTTTGGAGCTTTTTTTTTTTTTGAGACGGAGTCTCGCTCTTGTCACCCAGGCTGGAGTGCAATGGCACGATCTCGGCTCACCGCAACCTCCGCCTCCTGGGTTCAGGCAATTCTGCCGCCTCAGCCTCCTGAGTAGCTGGGATTACAGGCAGGCGCCACCATGCCCAGGTAATTTTTTGTATTTTCAGTAGAGACGGGGTTTCACCTTGTTGACCCCCATTGAGAGGATGGTCTCGATCTCTTGACCTCGTGATCCACCCGCCTTGGCATCCCAAAGTGCTGGGATGTTTTGGAGCTTTAAGATTGGACTGCCCTGCTTGATTTCAGACTTACATGGGGCCTATAGCCCCTTTGTTTTGGCTAATTTCTCCCATTTGAAATGGCTGTGTTTACCCAATACCTGTACCCCTGTTGTATCTAGGAAGTAACTAACTTGCTTTTGATTTTACAGGCTCATAGCTGGAAGGGACTTGCCTTGTTTCAGATGAGACTTTGGAATGTGGACTTTTGAACTAATGCTGAAATGAGTTATGTCTTTGGGGAACTGTTGGGAAGGCATGACTGGTTTTGAAATGTGAGGACGTGAGATTTGGGTGAGGGCAGACGTGGAATGACATGGTTTTGTTGTGTCCCCACGCAAATCTCATCTTGAACTCCCACATGTTGTGGGAAGGTCCCAATGGGAGGTAATTGAATCATGAGGGCAGGTCTCTCCCATGCTATTCTCATGATCATTAATAAGTCTCATGAGATCTGATGGTTTAAAAGGGGGAATTTCCCTGCACAAGCTCTCGTTTTGCATGCTGCCATCTGTGTAAGGTGTGACTTGCACCTTTGCCTTCTGCCATGATTGTGAGGCTGCTCCAGCCACTTGGAACTGTAAGCCCATTAAACCTCTTTCTTTTGTAAATTGCCAGGTCTCCGGTATGCCTTCATCAGCAGCCTGAACACAGACTCATACAATTAGTGATGATCATTTTTTCATATGTTTGTTGCTCACTTGCATGTCTTCTTTTGAGAAATCTCTGTTTAGGCCCTTTGTCCACTTTTAAATGGGGTTGCTTTTCTTTTCTTGTTGAGTTATTTGAGTTTCTCAGATTCCGGATATGATTCCTTTGTCAGATGCATAGTTTGCAAATATTTTCCCCCGTTTTGTAGGCTATTTACTCTGCTGATTATTTCTTGTACTATGAGAAGTTTTCCAGTTTAAGTTACACGTATATTTGTTTTGTATTTGTTGCATTGATTTTTGAGGACTTGGTCATAAATTTTCACATAGGCCAATGTCCAGAAAAGTTATTCCTAGGTTTTCTTCTAGGATTTTTACAGTTTCAGGCCTTACAGTTACATCTTTAATCCATCTTGTATGATTTTTGTATATGGTGAGAGAGATGGGTCCAGTTTCATGCTTTTGCATATGACTATTCAATTTTCCCAGCAGCATTTACTGAATAGAATGTCCTTTCCCTGCTGTTTATTTCTGTTGACTGTCAGAGATCATTTGGCTGTAATTACGTAACACCTCATTTTCAATAGTCACAAAATAAAAAGGCATGAAGATTTCATTAATTCCGGGTGATAAAATTTGGTTGAATAGCTAATAAACGGAGGAGCCTATGCACCTTTCTCTATGCTGAGATGCCCCTCACCTAATGAAAGAAATATAATGATTCTTCATTGATTATAATTTACAAAAGATTGACTTTGTTTTCTATAATTTGCATGTACGTACACTGGGCATTTGAAAGGACTCTTCTAAATAGCAGGCATAAGGTAAATACAAATACATCATTCTACATGCATAACTGAGTGGTTGAAAATGTCATTACTTAACATTCGTTATCAGGAATTTGCCTATACACGTTATTGAGATCCTTTGAATGAGACAGAGTGGGATATTGAAAAATTACTTAACCTGATGATAATTATGAAAACAAACCTAATAGTATATAATGTATAATTAAATCTCCATGTGTATTTTCTTCAATTATTAATAAATTTTAATTTTCTCTAATTCCTTTATTAAAATTAAATTTTTTTGTTTGTATCAGTTATCTAACATAAACATGTATATATATACACAGAGAAAGAGAGAAAACGAAGAAACACTTGTTAAAGGAATATTCTAGATTGCAGAAGCAGAACAAGTGGATTTGAACACAGCTAACGTTTAGTGTCTTTAGTCTTTTCTACCTCTTTTAAACATAAATTACCAATAATGAACAATTATGCAGACTTTCATTTCTTTCTTTCATTAGAAACAAACTGAATGTGCTTTCTTCTCTCTTTTTTATAGTTTTGCTATTTTTATATATCTAGCACCATCTATTTCCCCAAAGTATATCATGATCAATCTAAAAATCAGCTTAACTGGTGACATTTACTGGTATTTTCAAATTGGAAATGGGGAAATTACGATAGAGAAAACTTGAGACTGACAAATATCCTGAATCCAATGAGGAAAACAGAAACAAAAATACTTGCTTCAACTCCAGGATATGTATCCTAAAGACTAAAATTAAAATGTTGATTACTCTTATTTTTAATGCACTGTCATACCTGTGAACTGCGAATTACAAGTAATAATATTTAAGAGTAGATGTTTCAAATATAAAACAAATCATATATATCTTATTTCTATAAAAGTTTAATTTTAAAATAATTATATTAAATTTAAGCAAAGGCAAGTCAGATATAAAGTATAATATAATAGTAGATTATCTGTATTTGTATTTTATTTACCAGTAATTGAAGTAGAAAGAACACACATCAAAAAAAAATCTGTTTATCACTGCATGTTCTCACTCATAGGTGGATGTTGAACAATGAGAACACGTGGACACAGGGAGGGGAACATCATACACTGGGTCTGTCGGCGGGGAATAGGGGAGGGACAGCAGGGGGTAGAGAGGTTGGGGAGGGATAACATGGGAAGAAGTGCCAGATATAGGTAATGGGGAGAAGGAGGCAGTAAACCACATTGCCATGTATGTACATGCAACAGTCCTGCATGATCTACACATGTACCCCAGAACCTAAAGTGCAACAAAACATATAAAAACTGTTTATATACTCTCTCCATTATTTGTGGGGTTTGGAGTGACCTTAATAAATTAAATATTATGAATACACTGACGCTTGAAATCAAGAATGAAGAAGCCGTAAGCATTCCCTTGCAAATCTATGACCTTGCGTGCTTGCTTGAGAGATACAGAAACTGTCATGGCCACGCCAATCTGAATGATGGATATGTTTAAATGTGCCAGGGAACACAGAACAGAGTCCTTTACTGAAAGCGACAATGGCTTTACATAAAATCTGGCCCATGCAGAGTTCTCAAAACTTAGAGAGAAAGATAAAGAATTCAGGAAAGTTGGTCATGGGCTTAAAGTTCTTTCTACACCTTAGTGAGCATCAGACCTTGGGCAAGTTATTTCGTTGCTTTAAGCCTCAATTCCCTTTTCAGAAAAACGAGACTAATAATGCTAGACTTGAACAGTTCAGACAAGAAAGAGATTCACTTGGTATAGACAGACTTGCTGATTTCATTCATTGCACAACTGAGTCTTCAGGATGGAAATTTAACCGCAGCCTAATTGTTGATATGACACAAACTTAACACATGTCCTTGGACAAGTCATTGCTGAGTTTCTCCATCTAATATGTCAACTCCCTCATAAGTATAAAGCAGGAACTTCTTGGAGTAATAATCTACAGAAGGAGATTTCTATTGCATCTGACAATAGTTGCTTTTATTATTATTTATATTTTAATAGGGATTATAGTTTTTTCTTCAGGAGTTTGGTTAGGCTAAAAAAAAGTCCATGAGATTTGCCAGTTGAATTTTGTGTAATTTTAAATTTATATGATTTATCCAAATCATACCTAATGACCTTCAGTAAATATCAGGGCTATATAATTATCAGCTATCAGTGGACATAGCAGCCCTTTGCTAGTATATCCAACACTTTTATTTTTATTATTTTTTTTTTTTTACCCTTTCATACCTTTATTCTTTTTTTTAACCAAAAAAGTTTTTCTTATAAAATAAATTTTGGGCAAACATCATGCAGCCCTTCTTGATGATTTTCTCCCAGAGAACAAAAATTCAACAGGGCCCTTTGGGGCAAGGAGCCCCTTTTCCCTATCTCCTTCCTCTAAGAGGTACACCCAGACCAGCTGGTTATCAGCGGAGCCCTCGCTGCTCCTCATGAGAACGCTGGTGGAAGACGAAGGTGACGGCAGTGGAGGCAGCATCCCAGGCAGCCTGGAGTACCTCATCCTGGAGCCCCCGCTTATCAGTGCAGTGGTTCCACTGAGCCAGGTCTGAAGTGCAGTCAGAACCATCAGGGGGTGGCCGAATCTGGCGGCTGTTGACACAGCGTCGGCAGTGCAACCGATGGACTATTGAAGGGTTCTACAACCTTGGCTCGCTTCTTAATGGACATCGTGCCATCCAGGCGGACATATAAGTACCTTCGGGCCCGGCACAACTTCTCAAAGAGATCCAAAGTCTGGGCGTAATTCGACACCAGCACGACTTTGTCACTGCTACAGCTTCGGGTCACCGCCAGAATGTAATCCAGGACCAGCATCTTTCCTGACAGCTGTGGCTCCAGGGCCTTAGAGCTGTAACCAGGAGGGAAGAGGTCCAAGGCACCCTCAAAGCCATCCTCCCCTTCCACACACTTATCATGGATTAGAGCTGGATGATTACAAAGCTTCTTTAGTGAGGTGATAGAAGAAAGAGAAGACACACTCATCTTGCCCTCATGCAATTCTTCTGCCGGCTTCGCTTGTCTCAGAAACCTCTTATATAACTCAGTCTGAAGGGGTGTCAGCCTGCAACAAACGACCTGCTCAATCTTCACAGGCAGATGTTTAGAAAGGATATCTGATGTCCTCCTTATCAGGCATCTATTCACAATGCTGGTGAGCTCCCGCAGCCGCTCCTCTCCTAGCTGCCTGTCTGCCTCACTAGCAGCAGCATCTCGACCCTTCAAAATTGGCAATTCAAAATGCTTCTTGAATTCCTGGGCAGTCCCTAGGATGCCAGAATTAACAAAATGTACCAAGCTGAAATACTCAAGCAGATCATTCTGGATGGGGGTTCAGAGATGAGCACCCACCGGCTAGTGTTCAAGCTGTCCAGGGCTTGATAAGTCTGATTCTCAGAGTTCTTGAGCCTGTGTCCCTCGTCACATATGACCAAACCAACACTTCCTTTCTGGAGGACTCCAACATGAAGGCGGAAGGTCTCATAGGAATCGATAAGAATGGGAGAAGGCACTCTGGCTCCACGCTGGTTCATGAATCCTTCCAGCTTTTGGTCTATGTTGTCCTTACATCCTCCATCGATGGCCAGAGGTTGGATCCTCCCTCCGAGCCATTTCCCAACCTCATTGTACCAGTTTTTCACCAGGCTGGAGGGTGACACCACTACTGCCTTGTCAATTTCTGGCTTGCACTCTGGACTCTGGCACAAAAGTGTCCACATCAATGTGATGCACTGCAGCATCTTTCCCAGGCCCATCTCATCAGCCATGATGCAGCCATGGCTGCCAGGGATGCGCCGACTGGTGACACACTCCCACAGGAATTTCACTCCCTCTCTCTGATGAGGCCGCAAAACCTTACTGAGAACCACATGGACAGGGAATTTCTCCTTGTGGAGCTTCAGCTGGTCATGGGCGCTCAGTGGGGGAGGCTCATACAGAACCAAGGCATCTTTCTCCAGGGGATCATGGAGGGCCCGGCGGACCCCAGCCCTTTTCAGGCCCAATGCCCGAGAGCCCAGAGGACCTTGATAATTTGGAATGGGGACTTTGAATGGCTTCGACAAAATGCTTCGAATAAATGCTTCATGCTGACTGCTATCCAGACAAGGTGGTTGATTAGTTAGCTGACTCAAAGGTTTCCGAAAAGGAGACAGGAAACACTCCTGGATCCGGGTCTCACTGCTGGATTTCCGTTTCCTAGGAGTCACCAGGCCAGGTTGCCAGTCCTCATCAGATGACCTGCCTTCCGGTTTTCTCTTGGCCAGCTGGCTGGGAGCTAAGCTCCTCCTCATACTGGACCTAAGAGCTTAAAACGTCAAGTACCCATGAGCCAAAGGTCAAAAGCAGGCAGCGGCTAAGAGTGTAGGACCAGGGTCTAATCTGTAGAGGGGGCTGCTACATTATTGAGAGGACTGGCTAATTAAAGAGGGGACAGGGATGGCGGGAATCCATCCAGGAACTGGGGGTTTGGGTAAACTTGTGAGTGTCCGTCGCCAGTAAGCCGAGGCGAGATTACGCCAAAGTGGAAGAGACCAAGCAGAGATTAGCGTGGGACTGGGGGAGGAGGCAGGTGGAGACTGGGCGGAGTGGAGGAAGGATGATGGTCCCAGTCCAGGTGGAGGAGGTAGTTGCGCGGCGAGGCGGGGTGGGGATGGGAGTGGGTAATCACAGGCCAGGAGAGAGAAACAGTGGTGAAAGTCCAAAGCCTGGGTGGGGAGTGTGAGTCCGAAGAAAGGAGATTTCCCAGGGCTGGAGATGGAAACCAGGATCAGACTCAGGGAGGTCGAGCAGGAAGCCACAAATGAAGCCCTGTAAAAGACCCAAGATAGGAGGGGAATACCAGGAGGAGCTGAAAAGAGCGAAAGAGTTGCACGCAGACCCCACCACGTCTCTCGCAACCTTCCTCTTCCAAAGCACCTATCCAACACTTTTAGATAGTCTCTTTTGAAAAGTTTAATTCCCTATGAGAAACAAAATTATTTTCATCTCAAAATCTGAGAAACGTGATGTGCATCTAATTTTGATTCACAAACATAGTGATCAACTAACATCTCAAATCTAAGAGTTGAGCATTTTGCTTTTTCTTGTGTGCTTACTTGTTTGCCTCTTTGTTTACATACTTGTTTAATTCTTTTCTTCCTCCCTAGGAGTGAAAATTGGCAGCTCATTAAAACTGAGAAGTCAGAGCCATTAAATGCAACAACAACAACAAAAAGGAAAAATTATTCACACTAAACCAAAAGAGTTTTCTCTGAGAGCTACATTGAACAGTGTATAATGTTAACTTTTCATTGTTTTTTCTAATTTTATTGATTGATTGATTGATTGATTGATTGATTTTGCTGTCAAATTCCTGGCAAGCAATTAGAGGAAGAGGGATGGAATGAAGGCAAAAGAGCCCTGAAAGCACTTGGCTGATTTTTCATATTGAGCTCTGCTCCCTTCCTGTCTGACTCTGCAGTAAAGACCAGCTCCAGTAATGGGTCCCTGAAAAATATGAGATTCCTCAGTCACAAGTGTTACTTCACACAGCTTCATGAAGAAAAAAAGAACCAAGAGGCACCCTGGCCGGCTATACAGTTCCTTAAAGACAAGGTCCAGGACTTATCATTCCTCACGGTACTCTGAGCTGCCAGTCAGGATTCGCTGTTTGTAGAATCTATTTGAATGTCATTGTGTATTTTGGGGGGGTGTTAGGCAACAAGATCCTTTAAATGCATTATTTATAAAGCATATTTTTTCCATGACCAAACTATATCAAATCCACTGACTGTGTTAATCAATCCATGAATCTGCCCCATCAGATACATATACATTTGCTGTAATCGATTATTTTTTCTCACTGGCTTATCCCCATCTTTAGCTTATTAATCATCTACTGCCAGATGTCCTTGCCTGTCCAGATGTTCTGACTAGTTTCGGTTTACCTGGGATATTCCAGTGCCCAGCCTCCAAGATTATCTTTAATCCTCTCTTCCTAAATGGTACAGGAAAGTGAACCTAAGCGCATTCTTCTAGCAAACTGCAGGCTGGGTTTGCTCTCTCCAGCCAACCTCTGCTACTCCGGCTGGCTGTTTAACGACAGCTCGGTTAGTAGGAACTCAGTCTTCTCCACAGCAGCCTTCTCTGGAAACTCACCTGCCCCACTTCCACCACTTTACCACCAAAGCTCTGAGAGAACTCTATGTCCTCCAGACTCTGTCTGGGTATTGGTTTAGGGTTGAGTTTGGGGTTTGTTTGTTCAATTTGCGGCAATGTGGCTTTTGAGCAGTGGCAGTAGTAATGGAGCCAATAACGTCCCAACAAGGCAAGCTGTGAGCAGCGTCAGGTGTTGAGGGTTTAACGGCATCTTCTTGTTAAAGGTGCTAAAGGCTGCAGCATACAGTATTTGTGAGCTTCCCATCAATCTGCCGTGAGACAGAAAGTGTTTCAGAAAGCTGAAGTTCAGACCTTATGCTAAGCGATTTGAGTCAGTAACTATTGACTACGTTGTTTGTATCAACAAACTCTCAGCAGGCTGGTGGCCCGGAAGCACCTGCTACCACCACAGATGTCACTGTAATGGAGCCTTCTGCTCAACAATTACAGGTCCACAACCCAGAGTGAAATTCTCCTGCAAAAGTGACATTTTAACTAAACCTGATTCTCTTTGAGAAATAATGCAGTAAGCTAAATTCTCCCCGTGCCACCTATCTTTAAAGTCATCATTCTAAGCCAAATCAACTTTTAGAAAGGTTAACATTCTGATTTCAAAATTTTCTATATATGTTAGCTATTCTAGTTAGTAAAAAAAAAAAAGATTTACTATAAAGATACATGAATCCAGACAATATGGTATTGGCATAAAGATAGGCACGGGGCAAAGACAACTTAGTAGAACAAAAGAGAGCACTCAGCAAATGGTGGTAAAAGAACTGCATATCCATAAGTAAAAAATAAATAAATAAACTTTAGTCTATACATCATACCATGTACAGAAATTAAACCAAAATGGTGCATAGGTATAAATACTAAACCTAAAATTATAACAAAACTTATGTAAGAAAATGCAGGAAAAAGTCCTTGTAACCTTTAGATAGCCCAAGAGTTTCTAAGATATAAAATTTTATATTTTATGTATAATAATTCATTTATTCTTGTAAATATTTACATAACGTGGCATCATTAATTTCCCCATGTCTTCACATGGCTTCATAAGAAGAGGAAGAGAAAGAGAGATCTCTCCCTTCCAGGCGTACATGCCACAGAAAGGCCATATAAAGACATAGTGAGAAGGTGGCTGTCTGAAGGCCGGGAAGAGAGCCCTCATCAGAAACCAAATTTGCCACCACCTTGGTCTTGGACTTATCAGATTCCAAAATTTTGACAAAATAACTTTTCATCCTTTAAGCTACCTAGTCAATGATATTTTGTTATGACGGCCCAAACAGACTAATACACAACCCAAATGTCCATCAACAGGTGACCGGATAAACAAATTGTTGTATGTCTACACAATGGAATACTAGTCAGAAATAGAAAAAAATAAACTGTTGATACATGCAAAATTATAGATGAACATATAATTAGGTTGAGCAAAAGAATCTGTCAAAATAGAGCAAAATTATAGATGAATATATAATTAAGTTGAGCAAAAGAATCTGTCACAATAGAGCACATGCCATATACTTCCACTTATATAAAATCTAGGAAGTCCAAACTAAACTAGGATGATCAAAGCAACTGCCTAGGAGAGAGGAATAGGGAAGAGGGGAAGTAAAATCACTGCCTAGGAGAGAGGAATGGGGAAGAGGGGAAGTAAAATCACTGCCTAGGAGAGAGGAATGGGGAAGAGGGGAAGTAAAATCACTGCCTAGGAGAGAGGAATGGGGAAGAGGGGAAGTAAAATCACTGCCTAGGAGAGAGGAATGGGGAAGAGGGGAAGTAAAGGATGCAAAGACACATGAGAAAACCTCAGGAGCGAAGAACATGTTCACCATCCTGACTGCGGTGATTTTTCACAGGTGTATACTTACATCGAAACTCATGAAACTTTGGCCAGCTATGGCAGCTTACACCTGTAATCCCAGCAGTTAGGAAGGCTCAGGCAGGAGGATTACTTGAGCCCAGGGGTTTGAGACCAGCCCTGCCAACATGGAGAGACCACCCTCCTACTCCCCATATCTTATTTTAAAAATTTTTTAACACATTTTTTGAGTTTTCTGTTTTGGTTTGGTTTGTTTTTTTAGACAGTCTCACTCTGTTGCCCAGGCTGGAGTGCAGTGGCGTGATCTTGGCTCACTGAAACCTCCGCCTCCTGGGTTCAGGCGATGCTCCTGCCTCAGTCTCCCACATGGCTGAGATCACAGGCGTATGCCCCAACATCCAACTAATTTTTGTATTTTTAGTAGAGACGGGGTTTTGCCATGTTGGCCAGGCTGATTTCAAACTCCTGGCCTCATGTGATCTACTGGCATTGACCTCCTGAAGTGCTGGGATTACAGGTGTGTGCCACGGAGCCCAGCCTAAATTTTATACTTTAAATAAGTGCAGTTTCCTCACAAAAGAAAGTAGATGAGAAGGACAGAAAGACTCCCACCATTTATTGCTAAGTGTAAAAAGCAAAGTCCAGGGTCATACTACTAATACTCATAGCAACTCAGTATTTATTTGTGGTAGATATTCTTCTAAATTATTATGTATAATAATTCATATATTCTTGCTAATATTCACATTCACATAAAGTGGCATCATTACTTTCCCTTTTGCAAATGAGGGAACTGAGGCTTATTGCAACTACGTAGCTAAAACTGTGAATCAGGGCTGCTTTCCCTGCAGATGGATTCTAATCTGCTCTTAACCACCACACTTGACTGCAAGATCTTACTAAGTAAAATAACTGTGCTTGCAAGGGCAGATGTATTGGAATGGGGAAGGAGATGGAACTATGGGAAGGGTTCTGGTGAAGGGAAATTTACTCCCTAATGTAAAACTGTTTCTTGCTTAAATATCATAGCAATCAGCCCTGTGTCAACTGGTTCTTCTGGAAACATAATCCAAGATGACAAGTGAGAAGTACAAGTGGTTTATTGGGAAGTAACGCCTGTGAAAGTTAAAATAAAAAGAAAGATAAGTCAGGGAGAGCCTCAGATTACCAAAAAGATCAGCCTAAATCTCAGTCAACCCAGCGGGGAACTCTGAGGCAAAGAATACCCTTTAGAAATTTTCCACCTCATGTTGAGTAGAAATGACTAGACCCTAGTAATCTTGTGATTGTCATTGCTGTGGACTCTCAGCCTGAAGGAACTGAGGAGATCCTGAAGATACTGCAGAGGAAGGGTGTCAATTTCCCATACTCTCTGGAGTGAAATAGCAAGTTCTCTCTTAAAGGAAGATATGAACAGCTCTCCTTCATGGATACCACACTATCAAACAGGAAGACTATATTTTGTTACACAGCTCTTAATGTGCAGTAGGTTGCCTAATTATTGATCAAAATCGTTGAGAAAATATCCATTTTTTTAGTATGTTTTTTCCCTTTGGGAGAAGGAAAAACAAATGATATGCCCAAGTGATACACTGAATCTTCCACAAAGACATCGCTTCTTTAACTCAGGAATGGAAGATCAAACGTTGTATGTTCTCACTGATCTGAGGGAGCTAAGCTATGAGGACACAAAGGCATAAGAATGATACAATGGACTCTGGGGACTTGAGAGGAAGAGTGGGAGGGGCTGAGGGACAAAAGACAACATGTGTGGTGTAGTGTATACTGCTCGAGTGATGGGTGCACCAGGATCTCACAAATCACCACTGAAGAACTTACTCATGTACCCAAACACCACCTGTACCCCAGTTACTTATGGAAAAATAAAATAAAATAATAATAATTTTTTTAAAAGACTGCTTCTCTATGGCTATCTAGTGTGG